TCTTAGTTAAATAATATTTTTTAGCAAAATCTTTTGTTTGAAATCTTTCAAAAATCATTTTTTAATGCAATTTTAAATAAAAGAATCTTTCTGTAAATATATTCTATCGCCATAGTTGTTTAAATTTAAAGTTTAAAATAAAGTTTCCTTTACAAAGATTTATTCTAAAAGTTAGTAATATAACTAAACTCTCGCCATAATCCGTATTCGTATTAACGTAATTGATTTAGTTGAAGTTATTAAAAGCCTTTTTTTGCTATTTTTGGATATATAGTGAACCAGGAACTGGGTTCCCGGCTAGACCGGAGCTCTTTGATCCGCAGACCTTTCGTGCTTTAATTATCCCTACTCGTACAGAAAGTATTCTTCCTTACAAATGAGGGTTAAAATATGTTTGAGGATTGAGAATTCTGCGTTATGATATCTTGAGCATGAATGATATTCATATTATCTATTTTTCTCTCTCTGTTTCACTCTATCTCTCTCTCTGCCTGCCTAATATTCTCAAATTCATTCCCTTCCCTGGAAATGATGGTTTGAAGATTGAGACATCTGCCTTATGGTATCTTGAGCACGAATAATATACATTTTCTCTCTCCCTCTCTCCCTCACACTATCTCTCTTTTTATGCCTGATATTTTTAAATTCATTCCCTTTTCTACGAATGAAAGTTAATATAAGTTTGAGGATTGAGACCACGGTTGCCACTTATGGTACTTTAGTACCAAAATTGGTACTTTTTTTTTTTTTTCGTTTGGTACTCATTTTCAAAAACTGGTACATTTTTGACGACCCAACTTTATTGTGGATATTTCCAATTAATTTTTTTTATAAATGTAACTTTGCACTATTTTATATTTTGTTCATTTATAACACTATAAAAAACACAGAACGAGAAAACAAAAAGGTCCAAAAAAATTTTGGACCTTTTTTTACAGAAATGGTACCTTTTTAAACCAATTTTGGTACAGAAAAAAATTTTGAGTGTTTGAGTTTGAATTTCAAGTGGCAACCGTGATTGAGACCTCTGCGTTATGATATCTAGAGCGCGAGTGATATTCATTCCCTCTCTCTCTCTCTCTTTCTTTCCTTTTCTCTCACTTTCTCTCTTTAAAACTTAATACCGAAACTTTTTGATTGAAAATATCTCATATATTATATACAGTACATTACTAACGCTAAGAACATTCTCATACTGTGCTATGAAGAATGTTACTGTGCTATTGTGTAGGCTAAATATAATATTATTTTTATTATGACATTATAAAAATGTCATAAATCTTACATTTGCCATAACTAATGAATATTAATTCTTTCAAATATGTCCTTGTATTATTACTTTGCAAAAACTTTACTTAAATTATTATATTGATAATTCATATAAATTAGATTTTAGTGACTACCCAGCACTTTCATTTGATTTCGAAAGATGTGAAATTATTTGATGATTTATTTTCATATTTTCATTAAGAACCATTTATAGTGTTAAAACATTATTCCGTTGTCATTCTTTCATGTGGATTTACTTAAACAACCAGCAACCAACATTTTCCTAGCAGAAACGCTAAGTAAAAGTTTTTAGTGGCGTGCCATTACTAGCATTAAATTGACTAGTAAATGTCTTTTATTATTAATAAAACGTATATATATATTTATGTATATATATGCAACAATCTCTATATGACTTTTTGTGTCACTAGTTGTACATAAAACTCCATTACTATCGCTGCTTTTGTGAATAGCACAATTATTCGCTGAAATCATTTGAATACAAGTAGTTAACTATATTTGAAGGTGTCATCGTGTTGTCGTTAAAAATTTATTACATATCATTTCGAGTAATTGTTTATGACTGTCATGCCAGCTTTCAACGCGAACCCAGTAGAAAATTCTAACAGTTTTGCACATATAACGCTTTTGAAATTAGTGTTACTCGTTGTTATTACTAGTTGATTTATATACATAGAAGCAGGGCTTCGAACCGGAATCATGCATAGATCATGCATATATGTTTTATTTGCCTGCTGAATTAATTTAATAATGAAAATTATTGACATCGTCTCTTGTAATACCCAAGTTCAATAGATGTTTTTTTTACTTCGCAATGTCCATGAGTATTTAGATATAAAAACGCACATTTTTTTTAACCGATATGTAAGAATATATATGAAAGTCAGGCAAACAGTTGAGCTGGCAAGCATATATAATCTAGTTAGTTTTCAGTATTGTGAATCAGTTAGGAAGTAATGGATGTAAAGCACTATTAGTCAGCACTCATTAGTCAGGAATCAGTTAGCGGTTACTCGTCAGTAGTTAGTTAGTAAAAGCGGATAGTTATATACTCAAAGTTATTCTAATACATAAAGTTTTGATTTTTTTGTATTTCTAAATTAATTTATGTTTAAAATACCTGTGGTTGTAAAACCCATTTTGCACCTCTTTTCAACACTAAACGAAAAAGAAATATAGTATCGTTGTCTACACAAGTCTTCAGACACCACTTATATTGATTCTCATAAAATGACATGATTGTTACATCGCAAAATAATTTGGAGCACTTTACTCGGTACTAGTAAGTTCAACTTTAACTGAATATTCGCTGTCATCCAACAACTAGTAATGCCTGCGTTCCTGCTGGTGTTGTATTTACGATTGGGTGAGCAAAAATCTTTAGGAAAAAACTACAGAATTCCGTTGGAGTGAAGATACGAATAACTCTGTGGTGCACCAACATACCACCACACCTGTGCTCGAGCATCCTAGATCCGAGCGAGCATCAAATAATAATAAAGTGACACATAATTTTAATGCAGCATGAAATTTATGCAAATGTCATAAAAAATAAATATAATTTGTGTGTTTTGTCACAAAGTCACAAAGTCACAAAATCACATAATCACAACATCATAACATCACAATCGTGTTATTTTAGCTTGTTTACTTTGCGTTGGTGGGTTGGTTGGTTGGTTGGTATGTGTGCCCGCGTCAGTGTATGCGAAGCCACACATGCAAATGATTACATTAAAATAAAGCTTATTGTATTAGAGCATCATAAATGTATCTTGTAGATACAAAGCGAACACTATTGAGTATGTGCAGTTTTTATGAGTAAATTCATTTGATTAAAGCATTAAGTTTCATTGGCTTTGATTAACAACTAGCGAGTGTATTTAAAGCGCACAATTAGAACTCAGATTATAGATTTTTATTGGCTTAGATGTGCTTAATTTCGTAGCACTTAAAAAATTACAAAAACGCTTTTATATTAAATTTATTAAATAAACTTTCTTGTTTTTTTCTTGGTGCGTCCTTAGCGCCAAACTGAGAAATATGAACACATACCAGCATCTCTTGCTTCAGCTCGACTATTTAATGATTATTTTGCATCGCTTCCCCTTACTGCTCAATTACAGTTTATAAGCAAAGTAAACAGAAAACATAATTATAAGTTTGAAAATTACTTAATTAATAAGTTTTGAAGTTTTTCTATGACAGCGCCTGGGAAGATAGCTAGAAAATTAGATGGAAAGACAATTTGCATATGCAAGCAACGAGGAAAAAATATACGAAATCAAATTTCAGCAGGACGAATCCATAGCGAGAAAATGAACCACTCTGACTCAGTGAATACAATGAGTCATTGACTCATTGAATAAAGATTCGAATGAAACATCACAAGCTCAAAGAGGGAGACGGCAAATATAGCTTTTCCTTACACAAACTAATTAAAAAACTGATTACATAAATAAGTGAGGAATTTTAGTATACAAAAATGAGGAAAATAATATAAAAGATGTTTTATCCAGTATACAATTTAAATCATTAATTTTAAAAATTAATTACTGCGGACGATACAATGTAACAATTCTGAGTGCTGGTTCGGAAGTTATAGTGGTGCGTTTAGGTATAGCAATATGGCAACAGATTTTAGTGTACTTAGTTAATTTAACGAACTTCTCTTATTACAGTTTAAACCGACATCACTACTACCTCACAAGATACGATAAATTACCATATCACAAGAAACACAACACGGCATCAAGTACACTAACATAACTAGGATGTGGTCTTTTACACTGATTAAACAAATGATGAATGATATTCAACTCATTTCTACATACTTACCTTAGAGCCCTAGAACTTGAAAACTTAGCTTTATGTATACATTCGCTTTTTCATTTTACATGTCTTTACTAAAATCTGTTGTCAAATGGGCATGCTTAAACCATCGGTATCTCATCATTGTAGAAAATAGAAATAGAGCATAAACAGGGTACCAGCGTCTAATGAAGCGAAGTATCGCGACTATAATTGATCTTTTGTGCTGCTCCAGATTCTAACTGTGCAGAAAACATTCCGCAGTTCAAATGAAAGCCAAAATGTCAGCCGTTGAGGACCTTCTAATATCAGAGGAGAAGAGTAGTTCTCAACGCAGTGACCTCCACCTGGCCCAGATCAAGGCCAGGACAGCCACAAAGAATGTGAATAGAAGTCTCGTCTGCTTCTACAATCTATCGTTGTAAAATATTTTAATATTAGATTTAAACTCTTTAATTTTTCTGTGAATATCCAAAACCAGGCATCAGTTAATCTATTTGACTATCACATTGTAAATCTATTTACATTCATTAAAAGCCTGAATATCGTAAAGTGATTAAGCAAGACAAATACGTCTGAAAAATCGGGGCATAGCGCTAATATCAAGAAAACAGTTATTGAAATCTTTTTCTTGAAATACAAAGTGGAAAGGTTCAGCAATTAATCTACATCTGTACATATTTTGGGTACTCTTGAATAAAAAAATGATGTGATATCTATTGTACTGTATGTGACAAAAATTAAAACTATTTCAGGATACCAGTTTGTTATTTTAATAAAAATCTTAATGACGTAGGTTGTCTTTAATGTGTATCAGCTCAAATAGATTTATGTCAATTAATGAGTTTCGGCCACTGATATAGTGGATGAATGTCATACACTCTTTGCTCTGACTCACAGCTATGACAGTCGCTATAAGACAGTGTCCCACGAATACGGTGTTAGAATTGGACTGTGTCAATGCAAACACGAGTAATGAATTGATGTGTTCTAGATCTGATCTGAGACGGGTCATACATGTAGTTTGGCTTTTATACTTTCTCACGGCTAATTCACTAATAAGAAATATAGGTGTTATTTTATATTTTTAAAGAAATTTAGGATGGAATAAATAAACTGAGTTCACATCCCAGATATAACTCACGTACATGGCTTGTTAACTGTTTGAATGTTTGGGCGGAGGGGTTGGTGAAAATGAGATATTTCCCTAACTCAAATGAATTTACGAACTACTACTAAAATAGAAAAACTAATCGAAAGCTACAGAACAAAATATTTCTGAAACTTTTTGGCTCAGATAAGCCAACTCACAGCAGCAACGGATGGCACCAGTTGCTGTTGCTTTTGTTGTTGTTATTGTTATTGTTGTTAGAAACTATTTTGCTGTTGTTAGCTTTTCAAATCAAAATTGAAATTAAAATATTGTAGATATTTTAATTTTATTTATTTTGGAAATATTTTGTTGAGACCAACTAATAAGCATATTTTTGGACATGAGTGCAAAATTCAATTTAATTAAACTACAAACCGAGAAGCAGGCAAGCGGGAGGGCGTGCGGGCAAATGGGATGGAATAATAGTGAAATTACAGTTGAGCAATTACGAAGATGCAGAAAATAAAATTAATTTAAAACTTTTTGTTAAAAATATATTTCGAACAGTAGTGAGAAAGTAAAAAAAAATATATACATTTTTCTCTAAAACATAAGTTGCAATGTAAGTATTGTGGAGTAAAATCCTCAATGGTTTGAATTTGATAACAAAGTACATGGGTTTCTTTAAAATATTTTAGAAAAATATTATATATCAAATTAGAGAACTAAAGGATAATGAGAATAGTTTTAAGAAATTATATATTTTTGCTTTTATTTTTATATTTTATTTTATATCTTTTTTGTGTTTTTTATTTTTCGATTCATATCATAATAATATCTGATTGGATTACATTTAACAACGTTAACTCAACATTTTCCTTAAAGTTATTTCTTTTTTTGAATACTTAATCTTATTAAGTTATAATAACAAATCTATTAAAATTATATTGATAGCCTCTGTTTATGTTATTTGATTGGTGCATTTAAATTTGTGGTGTATCATCCGTGGGCGTTGTGATCCAACGAAGTGTCTAAGCAACTAACAATTTTCCCTAAACACAATCATATTTGTTATTTTTATAGATTTTAAGTCTTTTCTATTATTTTTGGTATTTTATGTATTTACACAAATCATATTACTTTGCGCCTAGAATCGCGCTACAATTTTTTATTTTCCGTTCTCATGCGCCTTGTAGCCCTTACAGCATTCGTGTTTTAAGCCTTATCGACACTGCTATTTGTTGCCTACTTTATCAGCTTTTCTCGGTTATTCGCTATTATTCTACTTTATTCTTTATTATATTTGTTGTTTGTTTTTTTTTTTTATGTTGTTGGTTTGTCTAGTATCCTTCGTAATCCGTTTGTTATTTTATTTACATCTATAAATTTTACTTTTTATGTATTTGTTACTACAGCGCTTCACTGGGACTTCAAAGTTGAAGTCCTTTTTTGCTGAATATTTTCTTTTATTGTTAGCGCATTTTCAAGCGATTTGTTTGTACTAAATATATATATATATATATATATGTATATATAATCTTATTGGAATAAACATATATATGTGTGAAATAGAGATATGCATTTATCGGTATATATGCTAGTTTATATTTTTTACTATAATGGTGTTCTCTCACATTGATAAATTTTTAACAATTTCTTTTTATCTTTTTCCATTCCAGATAACGAATTGTACTCTGGTACAGTGGCCGATTTCAGTGGCAGTGATCCGATTATCTATCGTGAACCACTACAAACAGAGCAATACGATAGCTTAAGTCTTAATGGTGAGTTGATTTGTTGTCCTGGTTGTTATATTTTTATATGTTTGTTAATAATATTATTGAAGTATCATTTTGTTTTTCTATTAAAACGTCAACTTCTTTCTAGTGAGTGAAATAGATTGAAATCATTTATTTGAAGGAGCTGGTATTTGGGTTGAATGCGAAAACAACAAATAAATTATAATTGAAATATAAAAACTTTTCACAAACCACTCAACTAAGGTTGGGGATTAGATTGTGTTAGGAGGAAAGCAGTTAGATGTACGCAAGATATACGCCGTACTCTATTAGTATTTCTAATTCTGATGCCATAAAATCCATAATGTTTAAATGAGTTTAGTTTTATAAGATTTAATCCATATAGTAGATTTACACTTCGTTTTAACAGCATATTAAGGCTGATATCATGATTACAGCGTTAATCTGGTTGTAACGTTGTAGATTTACGACATAAAAATAAAGTGTTCATTTACTGGCAATTAAGTTAAAATTTAATTTAAGTAGAAATAAATTTTTTAAGCACTCTGAAAAGTGCACATTAATATAATTAAATATTTCAATCGATTTGTGTAGAGAAAAAATTGTTTCTGTATAGGGAAGAATGATGCATAATTTAGAGAGTGTCGACTTTGTTCTATGTTTAATTTTTCAAAAGTATTGATTACAGATTTAGAGTTAGTAAATTTAACTAAATTTACATAAATCTTACATTAGTAAATATACAATAATTACTTTAGATTATTCAATATTGATACAATCGGTAGAACTTCCCAAATTAACATCATAATAGCACTGAAGTAAATAATATAAATTGTGTTGTAAATTTGCTTAGACACGCTAAACTAATTACCCTAATTGAAACCGGGTTTGCTAACATTCTTCGCACAGTGTAATCAATTTTTAGAAAATATTTAACTATTTTTAAGACAGTTGAAGTGGTGACTAGATTAACCTTTGAAGTTAATCTAGTGTGCTCCCCAATGAAAATCAACTGATCAAAATTATTTCCCAAAAAGCAATCCAGTGTGTCCAAACCCAATCATACCAAAAAGACAGAAAGTCTTTTCATTTAAACAGATCTTTTTATTTATAAAAACTCTAAAAATATATTTTACTGTTAATAACTGAAATAAGCAATTATTTAAATCAAAACACAAGTTTGGTACATAGAAAGAGAAATTTGATCAAGAATATGTTACAATAGAACAGACACTTTCGTAAATTAAACAAGTAGTGGTTACAATCTGTTAATGTCTATCCTTACAGGTCATTACTAAAATAAGTACTTCCAATAGATTCTTTCGCATGTTTAGAAAGTAGTAGTCTTAATCTGCTTACGTCCATCTGTGCAGTTCATTGTGTGATTAGGTGCTTCCAATGATGAATTCTGTAGATGCAATTAATAAAAGAAAATATACTATAAAAGAATAGGCATTTTTGAAAGTATAACAAGTAGTCTCAATCTGTATCTATTCAACTTCACTGGTAATTTTTTAATAAGGTGCTCCCAATAGAGAATTCTGTAATAGCTTTCAAAAGAAGGATATGGGAAAACAAATAGAAGACTTATTATATTGATATTCGCCTCCCTTTAGACAGAGGGTTAACTATTTTAAAGACTTATACTCTTTGGATATTAGTAGAGCTGACAACAAGCTAATCCAATTGACTGACTAATATAAAACCAATTGTCTATTAGAGATGACAAAAAAGTTATAATAAATACCGCAATGAACACAAAGTGCCCTAAACTTCTGTGAGTCCCGTCTATTCGCCTCCCTTTAGACAGAGAGTTAACTGTTTTAAAGATTTATACTCATTGTATATTGGTAGAGCTAACAACAAGCTAATCCAATTGACTGACTAATAGGAAATCAATTATGTTATCCTATTAGAGATGACAAAAAAGTTGTAATAAATACCGCTAGGAAAACCAAGTGCCTTAAACTTCTGTGAGTCGAGTACCTTATACCTATTAGGTCAATACCTCACCAACAACAGTCTAACCTAATTGACTGACTAATAAGAAGCCAATTGTCTTATTAGAGATGACAAAAAAGTTGTAATAAATACCGCAATGAACACAAAGTGCCTTAAACTTTTTTGTGAATCCAGTACCTTATACCTATAAGGTCAATACCTTACCAGTACCAATACCTATATGGTGGGGACTTTTAAAGTATTTATAATAATAATTGTAATATTAAAGTGATGATAAGTGTTGACAACCCAAAAATAAACTATTTTCTTTCTAAAGAGTCTAGTATTTTTGACTTTGCTATAACTCGAAATATTGCTTGAAACAAGTTTTGTGGACTCCTATAAACTTCACATGTCTTAAAAGATTTTGCTATATTTCAGAAAGATGTTTATTTTTCTTTTTGTTTATAAATATATGTTTGACAAAACTTTTTTAACATTTATTTTTCTAAATTCTACACAATTACAGCACCGAATTTTGTGAGTTCCTTCACACAAGGCGACTTCGTGTACTTCTTCTTCCGCGAGACGGCTGTTGAGTACATCAATTGTGGCAAAGTAAGTACAAAATCTGTAAAATTTGAGTACACAAAAGCACAAAAGCACAAAAGTACGTAAAGTACAAAATATTAGCCAGCATTTTTTTTTCTACTTATTACTCATTTATGTGGTTTTTGTTTTTTTTGCATGCCCACAAAAACGTAAATAAATAACAAATTTTTTTTTGGACTGCACATATGCCAACGAAAACTCAAGCATGCGACTGCATATTTAAGCACAGAAGCGCATCAGAAGCGCACAGATGCACTTGATGCACAGTCACACGAGCTAACATATACGCTGGCTCAAATACACACACACACACAGACACAGACACACACATATACGAGAGCAGAGTTGCATTTATTCATACGCATAGTTATGTTTTATCCGTAGTTTATTTGATTTCAATACAAACGACTGAATTTTCCACATATTTGCACATAAATTGTATTTGAAAAACTATTTTGAAATATTTGTTTATGGTTCCTCATATTATTTGGTTTATGTATTAAACGTATAAGTATGTGTGGATACGTGTGTGCGAATTGTTCCAATATAAATACGAGTGTATACTTTTTTGATTTCTTTCGTATCTATATTTATTTTCAGTGTACGCGTATGTGTGTATATGTGTTATGTGCACTTGTTAAACTCTACTTGCTTTACAGTGGCAAGTGTAGTCTTAAAACGAAATCTATTTTTGTGCTTGAAAATAAGCACACGCATACACACTCACACACACACACACACACACACACACACACACATTCGTGAACGAAATCTCATTTTGGATTGAGTTTCCGTTATCGAATTCCCTATCAGCGGCACTACACATGCTTATACACTGCAAAAAAATGAAAAATTCCACTAGAAAAATTTCAATTTCTTTTAATCTATGCGCATTTTCATATAAATGCGCTTCTATATATATTTTAATAAATTTTTTTTATACATATGTGTATGAATTTATATAATATATATTTATAGAAATATATGCATTAAGCTAAATATTATACAACCAAATTTATATTCATTGGTGTTAGTTTTTGTATGTAAATTTATATGTGTGTATTTGTGTGTGTGTATTTGCATTTAATTTTTTTTTTTTTTTATTTTTTTGGTATTTCCGCTCTACGATTTTCGTGAATGGCAAAATAGTTGCCATATTTTTGTACATCAATATTTTTTGAATATATATATAATTTATTTTTTTTTAAATTTTTTTTAACTCAATGATTGCATATGCATATACACACACGCCCATTTGCGTACACACGTAACGATTTATCTCTCTATATGCTATGCTTTCAAGCCGTTATATCGGCAAGTATAAACGGAAGCTTTGTGCCGCTTTCGTTAATATTGATAATATTTTCCATTTCGACTCGGCTATGTTTATTTATTTATTTTATTTGATTCGGGAATGTTTCTAGCTTCTATTTTCATTTCATTATATGGGTATATGGGTACGGAATGGCTATGAATCCACGCACACAATTATATATACAAACATACACCTATTTATGTACCTCAAATGCTAACAATTCTCTGTGTTATTTTGTTAATCAAAAATTTTATTTTTTCTTTTCTATTTTCTTCTATCACGTATTTTAGGCTATTTACTCCCGTGTGGCGAGAGTCTGCAAATGGGACAAAGGTGGCCCGCATCGTTTTCGTAATCGCTGGACTTCATTTCTCAAATCCAGATTGAACTGTTCCATACCAGGCGATTATCCATTCTACTTCAATGAAATACGTAAGTGATGAATGCATTAAACAGTCAGTGAACAGCAGGTCGTACGGTGAATTGGAGATTTGACATTGCTACGTATTTGGATAAATGACCGTTTTGGGAACACTATGAAGAAAAGCAATTCCAAGCTGTGGTTTATTCTAACGAAGGAGTTCATTTTAGAAAAGTTCATTTTAATTAATTTCTTATTTATATTTATTACTGGTACTTAAAATTTGCGATATTTGTTGTCTGGGTCAGGTATGGCGTAATACAAATTATTATTATCATGAACGTATAGAAAGGCTTAGATAAATTTAATAATGTATAACAATATTAGTTTAACTATATTATTGTGTGGGTCATTTAAAACGTACAGAAAGGCTTACCTATATTTAATTATCTATGGCAATAGTAGTTTAACCACCACTACAATGAAAGTACTTGATGTTGTAAAAGTGCATAGATGATATTATATATTTGGGGCATTGTAGGAGAAAAAAAGCTAATTCTGAATTAATTTATTCACATTATTAAAAAACTCAAATTAACAGATTAGATTGAATAAAGTTTAATAACATGCCAGGCTCTAAACTGCACCACTGTTACCATTAGTAAACTGTAGACATTCAGTCCATCGAATGAAATTTGAAATTTGTCTGCCATTGAAAATTTGTTAACATTAGATAGCAAAACGAGCTCTTGGACCAATGTCTTACTTTAAGGCCAGCTTAAAACTAAACCATTACAAAGAACTTAACTAGATGTTTTATCGGCTATAGGTTAAAATTATATATTGATACCTTAATAGATCTAAGTTCCTTAGAATAAAAGTTCAAATTTTTTTTCTTATGTTGCCATAACAATATGTTACCGGGTTTCGGCCTAATACAGTATGTCTCTCCAGGTGTCTATGCTGCGTGCACGCCTTCTCCAGTCTCGGACATCAAGTCCACTGAGTCCGTTTCCTCAACTTGAGCACTCCATCGGAGACCCGATTTACCTCTACGCCTTCTTCCTTCAACTATTGCTTGACATATCTTTTTCGCTTGAGCATCTCCATTTATTCTCACGATAGGGCCAAGCCAACGAACCTGCTGGATATTAATTCATTGAATTATAACACTGTCGTGATAAAGCTTGTACAGCTCGTGGCTCAAGTTTAGCTTGCAACAAGGAAATCTTCTTTAACGCAAATTATTGTTTTATTAGACTTGCATTAAAACTTGCATTGTTGAAGTAAAAACTTTATTTGTATTTAGATTCTAGTCAGTGATATTATAATAACTTTCCTCTCATTATGATTCCGTTAAATGTTTGTGCTGGGCTTCTTCTTCATACTGAGCTTCTTGTGAAACCATGACCCAGAATGACAGATGTAAGATGTTTTATTTCTTAATTCGGATATATTTGATTTCGTTCTTTTAATAATAAATTTGTATGAGTACATGATATTATAGAAATGGTATGATTGCTTTTTTATAAAGTTGGAAATAAGTTGGAAATATAAACTTTCATTCTTTCAAACTTAACCGCTCAAACATTTGTTTTTTAAATTTTCTTTCTCAAACTTTATTACTGAAGAAATTACCAAAGAAAACAAGCTTCATTTAGTGGGCTTAACTTCTAAGTCTACGAGGTAACAGCGGAATCCCAGTTGACCCATCATGCCTTTGTTTTTCATGCAATTATCCTTTAAATAAAAATGTGTACGGCCACCACTACTGCCAACTTAGGGCGCAGTGTACCACAATTTGGGTTTTGAAATTTATTTCATTTAAATTTTTCCGCACTTCGTTGTGTAATCTACGTTCTCTTCTTCTTTCTTCCGTTCTCGTAATTTATGTAGATACCATGCCTTACTTCACTGTTACACTTCATCTTTTGTGTTGTGCATTTGTCCATGGTTCCTTCGAATGTTCTCAGGTTTTATTCTATTTCAGTTGTGTTTTTTATTTTTCCCATTTGTTTCGAATTGAAAATTGTATTTTGCAAGGATTCAAAACTTGGTGCTTGTCCTGACTGCTTCGTCAAGCACCTTACCAACGACAACGGCAACGCCAACGTCAACGCCAACTCCAACGCCAACATCAACGTATCTTGCTGTTTCACTACAATTCGCTGTTTTGGCTTTACGATTAAATTCTTTTTAATATAAATTTATACACGAATTTTTTCTTTAAATCTTTCTTTTTGCATCTTTTAATGTGTTCCTCTTCGTTTGCACGTTTGCACTCGATTTTGGTTGCTGCCGCCTCTCACATATACACTGTGCAGAATCCGCTAGTAATCTCGTTGAAGGACATTACGGGCATTCTAGCGCCAAATTGATTTATGGCGTTTTTAATACGCCAACAAATTCAATTCCCGGCTCAGCGGTTTGTGCATTCTCATTGCAGGTGAGTACAGCGTAGAACTAATGCGCGCCCTAAACATTAGCTATACAGACAGCCGAGCAGTTGCACATCCAGATACATATACCATAGTTGTAGGTAAAGTCGAAGATACATTTAAGTTCTTCAAACGTTTTTGCACATGTACGTTTGTATGTTGCAAAACTATATAAATTTTGATGGCAAGACAACCTGACAGTAGTTTGGCAAAGCACTGCGGGTACTAATAGACAGTGGCCCAATTGAATGGACATGCATAAATTTTTTACTACTGCAACTGCTACTGCCTCTACTGCTACGGGTTCTGTCTATGGCTTCAGAATTGCAACTGCTGCGGCACGTCTGTTACTGTTTCACTTAATTTACGTTTATTATACGAATTCCCGTAATTTGATTTGATTTTTTCTCTTGTGTTTCATCGCAGGATATTGCTGACACTTTCGAGGGAAGCTTCAAGGAGCAAAGCAGCATCACTTCCAATTGGTTACCGGTCAATAATGCTAAGGTTTGTATTCAACTGCAATGGCAAAAGTGCAAACATTTTTGACCACAGATTCTTTATGTTTTTTCGAAATTTTTATTTTTTATTGTTAGAGATGTATTTAACATTCTCATGTATTATGTTAAGTAGTTAATTCAAATAAATTAAATTACTTGTACTGTGATCGTACATCCCATTTAATGGCTTGCCTACGAGTCGATAACTTTAATCGTGAAAAAAAACCTTGACGTACAAATAATTAACATATTTATACAAATTTTTATATATTTTTATAGTAATTTTTATGTTTTTATAATATATATATTTTAAATCTTTATTTTATATATATAACTGTCTTGGTCTACAAATAATTAACTAATTAACAAATAATTAATAATAATTAAATTTTTATATATATTTATATTAATTTTCATATTTTTATCATTTGTATATTTTAAATCTTTAATAAATATATATGACTCTAACTTTAAGTCCTTTAAATAATTGTAATTCACACATATTTTTGCATTTAATCGGTTACTTCTGGTACAACGTAGCGTATGAGTAACGTATTTTATTTTATGTTGAGGTGGACTCTCTAGTTTCCTAATGATTACGTTAATAATCATTGCAACATATTGTATAAGCGATTTAGTAGATCATGAAACTATAAAATTTTAAGACGGCTTCATGTATGATGCCGTCTTTATAAATAAATAAACCAAATAAATTGCAAAAGTGCAGAAGATAGTTCTTTGATTTAAGAGACTAGAAAATCACTGGGGAAGAGAATTCCTATCTTTTAATTCCCATTAAAATATGAGAATTAATGAGAATTAATTTTCAATATTAATCGTCATACATTTTCGCTAAATAATTTTTGACTCAGATATTCCTAATATTTTAAAAGTCCTTTATACAAATAATTTAAATAATACATCCATATTTCTTCTTTTTTCTCTTAATTCTTTTATCTCCTTGGCTTTAGTTACGCATTTCCATCTCGTCCGATTGTTTGCAATGGGTTTTAATTTGTTCCACGATTTCCCCGTTGCTAAAATCTCGGTGTGTAATGTTCTTCTCCATGATGTTTTGGGTCCTTCTCTTTTTCATGTTCCTTGCGGATCCTATTCTAGTGCTAGATGGTATACTTCTGTTGGTTGTTTTCGCAGAGTGTGAACGATCTAACTATTTTATGTTTGTTTAACGTTTTTCTTTCAGAGAAAACGTTTGTTTCTGTGTTTTTACCATTTGGAACAACTGTCTAAGTATACGAAGATCAAATCAATATTATATATATTTATTTTTGAAACGACATAGTGGTAATTTATTATAAATCCCCCAAACCTTGGCACTTGTATTCAATATTGTTTGTTGAATGACCATTTACTGTGTACACATTTTTGTAGACTACTCTTTAGAGTAAACTTAAATAAATCCATTGTTTTATGGAAAAATCATCATTAGCAATGAAGCTTCCTATATAAGAAAAGTTATAGTATTTTAAATAAAAGAATTTATTAGCAAACTTCCTGACTATATGGTGTTTGCTTATATTATTTTATTTTTGAAAACCGCTGTTTTCTAAAGACATCTACTTACTTAAGATGTTTTTTCTAATGACCGACCCATAGAGTGCATTTCAATTTTGCATATAGCACGTTCGGTAGTTTTCATATCGGCTCTTGTCTCAATAGCATGCGTCGCTATAGGTCTAACTAAAGCGGACTTTTTATAATCGGACTTTTCCTCTTATGCTTTGATATTTATTTCGCCATAAAGTATATCTAAGACAACTTGCTACGTGAGCCGCTTTATTTGTTTGGGCAGTAGCTTCAGCACTTAGGACCTATGTTGTTATTTTAGCTCCAAGGTAATTAAATCCTATAACCTACTCTATGGGAGCATCGTACACTGCAAGTTTGCATCGAAGAGACTGTCTCGATATTGTTAGGGACTTCGTTTTCAAGGTGGATATTTTCATATTATACTTTTCTGCTGCCTTTTGAAACACGTATAAGAGTCTTTGCAGGTTGTCTTCATTGTCTGAAAATATTTTTATTTCATTTCGTAGTTTGTACCCTCTGGCACATCAACTTTTATCTATTATAAAAAATAGGTAAATAAAATTTATAATCTTTATAATCAATGAATCTCTGAATAGTTTTATTTACACTTTTGTTTCTGAATTATTAAGACTTATTTTATTTTAAAGATATTTAATTTGTTGACTAATGATGAAATGACGTAAGAATTTAAGCGATCTATTCTGATACTCATTTCAGGTGTGCTTCTAATGATTTCCTAGTAAATTTAAATGTGGATAGAGTATCCGACAAAGTAGAAATTAACTTCTTTCTTTTTTCAAACTTTGTTTACGTAGTTCGTCGCTTTGCAAACTACCTTCTATGAAACTAGAAACCTATGAAATAATGTTATTTCTCTTTTTGTGCAGTAATTGCAAAATAAGTTCAACATGTTCCAATGAAGTCTGTCACCACTTCATCAACCTCCTCAATGCACCACTTTGTCCGGTCGTGCATCTCTTTGATGTGTTTAATTGAATAATGGCGCAAAACTTTAGGAAAATTATTTTAATGAAATATAATTATTTTCAGTATTTTGTGCATTAGTATTTATATGAATGTAGTATAGAACCTTAACCGGAAAAGTTATTTCTCTATAGTTTTAATGCGCTTGCCACTTAAGTCTCTACTCCAAAAACAACCTAATTTTCTTCCTTTCAAGACAAAACGTTTTCCAAAAAAAAAAGAAGGGAAAAACAATCTTGAAAATATGAAAACAAAAGGAGCTAATAAAAGTAATGAAATTAAGAATTTATATAAAAATAATAAAAGATTTTTAATTGAACTCACAAACTTTCAGAGTCTTGAAAAAACTGTATAGACTTGTAATTGAAATGCTTGAAATAGTTTGACCCCAAATAGCTGGGAAGTGCTCATTTTATTCCCAACAGGCGGAATTAGTGCAGATGGAAGCTCATCAATTTAATGAAGTGCCGTTGAAAAAGTGGAAAATAATTTAAAAAAATATACAAAAATATATATATAAATAAAAAGTTAATAAAAAACAACTTTAAAATGTCAACAAAAAATGAATAAAGAAAATGAAAATGAAAATGGAAATGAAAAACAAAAACAGAAGCGAAGCGAAGTTAAAAACAAGAAATGACAACGTCAACAACTTCCAGGATGATGATTAAACAGCACAACATGACATCCTGTTTTTATTTTCATTTTCATTTTTATTTTTGTTTATATTTATATTTGTATTTTTGTTTTATTTGCAATTTTTTTATTTTGACTGTATTGGCCACCATTAAATCGAATGAATTTAGTTCACCTGCAATTCTCTCCAGCGCTTCTTCAGCGCTTCTCCAGTTCATCTCCTCATCGCCTCATTGCCATATGCGCACCACCATAACATATTTTTATCTGCTCGGAAACCTACTTTAATTCGAGCATAAATAAAAAATAAATACGAAATTCTTATCTCGTCTGCCTTTATGCACTTAAAGCATTTCCACTTATGTGTTGCGCCATTTTTGTCTGCCGTTTTTTGTGACAACTTCCGCCCGCTGCGCTTCACTAAAATGTTGTGTTTTGCTTGCTCTTCTCTCATTTCCGTTGCTGTTTATTACGACTTGCGTTTTCGGTGTCTTCATATTTTGTTCATTTATTTATTTTTTCAAATAAAAATAATTTTTATAACTAACAAGTTGGATTTTTTTCTATTTTATCTAAAGGTACCAGAGCCACGACCGGGCTCATGTCACAACGATTCACGTACACTTCCGGATCCAACGTTAAATTTCATCAAAACACACTCGCTAATGGATGAGAACGTTCCGGCATTTTTCGGTCAACCAATTTTGGTTAGAACGAGCACAATGTAAGTATACTTTAAAGTACTAGTATAAAATCACCTACCTACCAACACCCCCACCCCCTTCCCCCTACTCTTTGCATCACATAAATAACTTTAGCTTAACATCTTATGACTTGTGCGCCCTATGTTATGTTTACTTTTTGGCAGTGACAGCAAGCTCTGGGCATTACTCCCTATGCACTGTGACCTTATTGTGTACATTGTTGTCATTGTGTGAATTAAAATATGTAATATGAACTCTGCTGTGCAAGTACATATACTCGTACATTCCCTCTTAGATAACCAACGTTATATACGGTTTGCTTACCTCAAAATGGGGTTATAGAGTTCCAGTTAATTAGTAATAGCGTGTTGGAATAGTAAAGTAAGTAAGGCCAAATATTAATAATAATAATACATTGAAACTCGGGCTTTAAATAGCATTTTATGCTTCGCAAAAGGTTCTAGGTGGTTTTAAACCCTGAGGTTTTTAGTATTTATATACGGCATCACAATGGACCAATAGGCCTAAGTGGATCTACTAGGGATCACCGGTATAACCTAACCTAATACATTGAAACATTAGAGTAGCTGTATTCGGTGGGTTCGGTGCTGTCCTTCTCTCTTAAGTGGAGCATAAGATCATATCCGATGCGCCTGCTGCTGTAACAGGGGATTCAGCCGCTAACCGATTACCCCGTGAAGATATATTTCTGCTGTGATTTTGATTTATATATGTTGTGTAAAGATTATAGTAATGTATGGTATATGTAAAGATTAGTCAATGAATGAATCAAAGACTATTGTGACGTGCATTCGTAATAAGTTCTAGAAAAGTTGTTTGTCTTCACCTACTTCCTGAGAAGCTTTGATGTTCAAAAAGCCATTCAGATTAGCTGGTCACATTACCTCCTTCTTTTTCAAACGGGTTTGGGACCGGCTACGGCGGAGTTAAGTTAAGTAACTGTATTAGCGTTACAGAGTCCAATAAACAAATGCAGCTTCTGGACTAGTATTAGAGTCACCGAATCTAATAAATAAATAAAGTTATTGGGTCAACATTAGAAAATTACATGAGTTTTATTTATATTTTAGAATCAGGTAAACAAAAAATCTGTTTGAACTACCATTAGAGCATTATAGTATAAAGTTATAGTAGCTTATAGAGCATTATAAACATATTAAAGTCACGGTATGTGCAAATTTTGTTAGTTAGAATAACATCTCCGTACATTTTTTTATCCAATCAGATATTGAATTTGTTTATACAGAAGTAGTGAGCTTTAAACCACAAAAATTAATTGTTCGAATAAAAGTCGATGTCATATTGGAATACCACTTGTTCTGCTTTCTTTTTGTATAAAAATTTAATATCCAAAATTTATCTATCATGTAGTAATCATTACATAAATATAAATACTTATGTATATGTATTTATGTATATATATAAATGGTTTTATTTATCTTTAAATATTCTCATTCGGATTTCATTGGCCAGAGTAAGATTTGGGCCATAGAACCAAGTGATATAGTTAGCCTGTTAATAGTCTTAAATTGTATTGTTTCTATTGTAGATGATTCTTTTTATAGTTTTCTGTTCTTTTTGTTGAGTAGGGCATGAAAGTCATCAAATAATTGTCTTGCGATTTATATACTATGGTATATTATCAACAGTAGACACAATATCACGATATGGGATAGAGGTAATTCAAAAAATCAAGTGTTAAGAAAAGTTGGAAGCAACTGTGTTTCTGTGCGAATCTCTACGAAACTTGACCAAAATTATTTAAAGTTATTACTTTTTAAGCTGATCTCTGACATTTGAGTGAATTATTTATAAAATTGTGCTTTTGACATCTTAAGTAATATGTATGATCATTAAGCGCCCTTAAATACTTTCATCAAGTATTGGTAATGATCTATAAGTTTAAACTGCCATCTCTACAGATTTACTATTATTAAATTTTAATATGTCATGACAGCACTATAAAATGCCACGAGTCTTATACACCCAATATAATTGACAACTGATAATCTATGAAATAACTGAAAGGTTTATATATTTAGAAGTATGCGAACTTCAGTATATATACGATTTTTTATGTCATTGTGAACCACTGGAATCGTTTTGTAGTATTTTTTTTTTTTGTTTCTGTTTCTGGTGATTCAAAACTTTTTCGGTTCTTATCATCTCACCTAGTGTTAACCTTTAAATGTGCCCTATTCAACCATATTCTCTGTAAATAATCTGTTTTTACTGCTTTAAACCTTTCTGCATTCTTAATGACGTTTGTGGACTTCATCAAAATTCCATGTTATCCTGTAACAACATCCGTTGTCTACGACGATACAATAATTTTAGTACATAAGAATAGTTCCAAGCCTATCGTGTTGAGTTTTTATCATTTTATTCACTTGGCTTATGTTTACCATATACCCAAAGCAGAATTGCTGTCGACCAGCCAACTATCACTTATCACCCATGCTTGCTGTATATATCCCTCCCATTCCAAACTGCAAGTATCTCAAAAGTTTATTGGCTGACATTATGCTTTTAATGCGTGCAACATAAAGTGTCTACAATATTGGAACAGCAACAGTAAAAGCAACATTTGTGCACAAATTATTATTACACTGAGCAATAACAACAGCAACAGTTGCACATATACCAACAGCAGTGGTCTGAGTACGGGAACGCAGTAAAAACATCAGCAATGTCACATAAATGCCAACAACAATTTTAGCTTTGTTTAGTTTCGGTCAGAGCCACTTAAAAGTAAAAGGTGGCACTTAGAACCTTACAATTTGGCCCTTGCAATGTCCATTGCAGTGACAACGACAACGACAACAACGACTACGACGACAACGGCACGGCGATGGCAATGGCGATGGCAATGGCGATAGCGATGGCGATGGCGACCACAAACGACACAAGCGCAACGCAACGACAATGGCTGTAAGCAACTGTCGCTAAAATTAAATATACAAATTTCGTTGTTGCATATAGCAGCGACACCAACAACAACATCAAATGGAAGCAACAACATTTTCAGCTAAATTTTCATAAATGCAACACAGAATTAGATGTTGCCACATTTTTCATTTTTTGTTCGGCTACTAACCTAAAGGGGTTTGTTGTTGCTGTTTTGTTGTTATTATGGGTAATGCACGTAAATAATATTGCTGCTGCTGCTGGTGGTGTTGCTTATGCACGTAATATTGCTGCATATTTTTGACATTGCTTTGCGACATTGGGTGTGGCGAACAGCGGGTAGTAAACAGCGATGGACGAGAGACGAGAGGCATGAGCGCTTTAGTTAGTCGAAGTGATGTTAAACACCAAAAACTCCAGCAACACAAAAAAAGAGGAAATTACGTTAAGGAAGCTGCCGTCCGCTCTTTTCTGAAGTGAAGCTCGTTTTCCGGATTAGTTCCTGCTGGAGATGCTGATACTGCAAGTGATGATGAAATTGCTACCACAGCCGTTTTATTTACAGCACTGCAGCATTCACATGCCACCGCTTCGCACCATCATGCACAACGCTAGGTGCAAACCTCAGTAGCCAGTGCTTGCTGCACCTATTACCCGGGTTCCTTACACTGAATAGAGGCACGTGCGGACCATACATGCGAACCCTAATTGTGTATTTGTTGTGTAAGCCATGCGATTGTGTTTTTATCCAAGCTAATAACGAAGTCAAGGAGTTGCTCGCAAAATGCAACCAATTTTGTGGTGAAATTTAATTTGACCGAAAATTACCAACTGCAAGAGGCGACCAAGTGACGGACAAGTGGCGAGAAAGTGGTGGGTAAGTGGAAGTCGAATACGACTTATGCGTCTACTGTACTAGTGTTTACTGTACTAATCAACGTTGGGCCACGGCATATGAACTAAGGCCAGCGTGGTTGCTGTGTTGTAGTTTTTGTGCGTTGACTAGTCCATTGAATGGTTGGGAGGTTTGCACGTCGGGTGCTTGATTGGATAACTTTAGTTGGTTAGTTGGTGAAATAGTTTTACGGTTTCTGGCATTAGAAACTTAAAAATCTTTGTAGTTTTTGCTATTTGTTTCCTGGTTACGTTATTCGTTCATGCTTAATAGTGTTGCTATTTAGCACTGTTTCGTCATTATTACTATCAACAATACCATTGTATATGAATGCACATCCCCATTATGTCTCCATTTACTATTAGCCTAGAATCTAGATTCTTGATGACTTTTAGATAAATTTTACTGGGGAAATTATTTTTTTATTTTTATTTACTTTGATGAACTTTTTTTTGCGTGAACTTGTTTGTGGTTTGTTGTTGAAATTGTTGAAAATAGCCAGGATATCAGATAATTTACTTCTTGCACTGTTAAATAGTTCGCTCCCAAATTGTATTATAATCTTTACAACATTTTTTTTTCTCTTGGCTATTGTGTATAGACAATATATAAGTCTATAGTTATTTAATGTAATTATTTGCTGTATCCATATAATGAGCCGAAAACCGTTCCATTTTTACTATAGATTTTCTAATAACCCCTAAAACTTCATTTCTTGATATCACTTTTTTAAATTTATATGGAAGTTGTTTCTAGTTGTTTTCGGGACTGAGAACCTAGACTATCAATGCTGTGATACTTTCAATTCACATATCGATGGTGTATAACATAGCCTTTCTTTTGGGTACCAATTATTCTTTAGGCTCATACTTAAGAGCTATGTGTTAAAGTCCGATTTGTTTTTTCTTTATATAAGAATATTAACTTTTATTTCGAACGTTAATATTTCGGCAAATTTGCTTTTGCCTTCATCAGGAGTACTCCTAATATGGAATCCATCAGGAGCTATATGTTGTTTTATTGAGCCCCGAAAGCTTTCAAAATACATTCTGTCTTGTTACCTCTAATGTTGATCAATAAATAAGAATTCTTTATTAATAACTAAAATGTTTGATGTAATTATATTGTCTTAGATAACATTGATAAGGCCAGCATAAAAACATACATAAATTTGTTTTGTTTTATGAAAATATATTT